ATATAGGTTATAAATTAATTTACTGTGATATACTCTATCCATTCAGTAAAGTTAACTAAATATAACTTCAATAGTTTCAAGGTCGTTAAAAGCGAAAAATGTGAAAGCAAAAAAGTTGCTGGTTTCTATTAGTACAATTTTACTAATAGAAATTTTATTTAATAAAAACGAACTTATATATATTTTATTATACTTAAAGTAGTAAAAATAATTATATAAAATTGTTTATAAAATAATAATTTCGAACAATGTTTTTAAAAAAAAAAATAAAAAGCTGTTTTGATAAAAAAAATAGAATGAAGAAAAAATTCTTTTTAACTTTTGTCTTTTTAATTTGCTTCTATGCAGAGATTTAAAGTAATTTAAATTAAAAAGTGCTTTACGTTGAATAAAAATCTCCGGGCGAAAGAGCAAATGATCATGCTTCTATTCAAAAGACAAACTTTGCGTGACGTACTTTACTATGAAAACATTACTTTTTAAGAATTGCCAAAAAAAAAGCTAAATTAGAAAAAAAGTAAATAAACAACTGAAAAAGTAAACCAATCGTGAAAATATATGATAGCGATACACTTAATTCGAGCCCTGATATATATATATATATATATATATATATATATATATATATATATATATATATATATATATATATATATATATATATATATATATATATATATATATATATATATATATATATATATATATATATATATATATATATATATATATATATATATATATATATATATATATATATATATATATATATATATATATATATATATATATATATATATACTATTTTTTTACAAGCATAGCACATTTCTGAGAAAATGGTTCAAAACAAGAAGCTAATAGAAAAAGAATTTACAAATTTTGTTTAGATTTGTATAGAAATCTTTACATAAAGAATAAGTTATGCGGCCAAAATAAATAACTCTCCATACATGTTGCGTAATTACAAATGTTGCATTGTTACACAAATTGATGTTGCATAATTGCAAGTTCTCTTTTAGAGTATAGGTTTTAGAATAATGATGCAAAAAATCTGTAACAATAATAAAATCAGAAATAATAATCTCATAGAAAGTATATATATTGAAACGAATAAAGGAATTAATACTCTTTGTAATTAGATTTCTCTTTAATTTATGACTTAGAAACTTTAGGAGTAATAGCAACTTATAATTTCCGTGGTTACTGAAAGCCCATTATGAACGTATTTTATTGAACACTTTTAATGCCATAACTATAGCATTTTTTGTCACTGTATAATTAAAAAAAAGTTAAAAAATAATCTTTTTTATAATTCTATATTTTCAAGTAAAAAAAGGTTTTATTTATAATAGATATTTTTTGAATATTTTGTTTTAACGTATTAACGTTTTCTTGCTGTAACATTGACACCAATTCTCTTAACCAACAATGTTGCAACAAGTTGCAACAATGTTAATAGATTATACTTAACTATTTTATTATGATCATAACTTTTTATCTTAATTATAGTTTTTCAATATTTCACATTTTGTTCTGGTTTATCAGCAATTTGTGTTCTGGTTTGTAACAGCATATTGTGTTCTGGGGTATGGGTTTAATATTTGATTTTTTTACAAAAATCAAATATCTAATTCAATTTATAATTTCCATGGTTACTGAAAGCCCTTTATTTATTTATTAATAAAGCTGTGACTCTATTAATACAGCAAGTGTGATTTACACACTGAAACAGCTATTCACAACAGCCATTCACAAAAATAAGTGGCTTATATTATCGTTCTTTTATTGATACTTGTCGAGATTATTTTTGAATTCATTTAAATTATGAGAATCGGCTACTTTATCCGGTAGTTCATTCCATGTAATTGCTGCTCAATTAAGGATATTTGTCTCAAAGCACTTTTAGTAAATTCGGCTCTATATCTAAAGTTGTGTTCCCGTGTCTTAATCTGATTATTTTGTATGTTTATTTGCTCTAAGAAGTTATATCCATGTAAGGTTAGATTTATATTATCTATTTTATTGATGATTTTAAAAATTTATATCAAATCACCTCTGAATCGCCGAGTTAAATGTGTTGTTAGATTTGAACTCATGAGTCTTTCTTCATATGTCATCTTTTTAAGAGAGTTGCTAGCCTCTGTACTCGTTCTAACACAGATATATCTTCTTTAAGGTGAGGAGACCATACAGCGATACCGTACCGGACAAGTGTAGTGTATAAAACTTTAAACATCTCTTTATCAATGTAACTTAAAGTGCATTTTAGCATACCAAGAGCTCAATTTGCTCAAGATGCAGAGCTAATTGCATGTTGTTTCCTCTTAAGATTAGCAGAGAAACTGATACCTAGATCTTTCTAATACACTTTTCTAAAGTTATTATATTGTCATTGTTTGAATCGGGTATGAAGTAATAGTGCTTTGGATTGTTTTACCCTAAATGCATAACATGACAATTTTTACTTTTAAACTTGATCAGCCATTTTTTTAACCATTCAAATGCCTTGAAAAGATTGTCTCGAGGAGCTGGTATATAATTGTTTTTGTATATTTGATTGATGATTTTAGTATCATCAGCAAACAATTTAGACAAGTTAGTTAAGTTTTTTGGTAAGTCATTGATATAGATGACAAAAAGAGGTGGACCTAACACGGAACTTTGTGGAATACCGCTAAAAACATCTTTCCAATCTGACTCAATTTGGCTAATTACAACTCATTGCTTTCTATTTTCTAAAAAAGATGTAATCCATGAGATAAAACAATTATCAATACCATATTTTCTTAATTTAAGTAAAAGTCTCTTATGTCAAATGCTTTAGAAAAGTTGACGCAAATAATATCAGCTGAGTTATTGTTCTCCATACAAGTTGATAGAAAGTCGATAGTCTCTAACAAGTTTGTTATACCTGATTTTCTAGGCAAGAATCCATGTTGTTGTATATTAATCAGATTATTTGTTATCAAGTGATCTAAAATTTCTTTGCGTATTATTGACTCAAAAAGTCTACAGACAATAGACGTCAGTGAAATTGGTCTATAATTTTCTGGCATGAGTTTATTACCTTTTTTAAAAATAGGCGTTACATTCGCTTCCTTCCAATGACTTGGCACTTTGCTGGAAGCTAAGGATTCTTCAAAGATTAGTATGATTGGATAGGCTAGTGATGGCAAGCATTGTTTAAGAATTATGGGGTGGACCTTGTCACTGCCAACAGATTTGTTTATATCGATGTTGTTCAAAAGTTCTAATATTTCATTATATTTAAATAATATTTTACCTTCATCCATTGGTTTTGAGATGTAAATATTTTTTAAATCAAATTCAGGAATTAGATTAAATTAAAAATGGTCACAATTAAAGTAAAAATAGTTTTTCTTTTTTCGAGCTAGATTGACATTATGTTTATTAGACCACAGATTAACACGAGGACATGGAACGGATTACAGAACAAATTTTTCAATTCCGATATTATAGTAATATAAAAATACATCATATATTTGAACGACTGTTTTGTTATAAAACAACAGAGTCCAGTTTATGTCGTCAAATAAGTTTTTCATAACTTTGTAATTTCCACAACTAAAAGCTTGTTTTGGTATTGTTTGGGAACATGAAATACTATGATCCATTGAAAGGACTAATATCCAAGTCAGTATTAGATGACCTTTATTGCAGTCTCCAAGCATCAGATTATATCTAAGATTGCAGACCCAATTATGTTGTTCAGTAAGAATCAAATCAAGTGTTCCTATGAAAATGCCATCTTGCACTTGAAAAGTTGGGGCATCAACATATTGAGTTAAAAAACTTCAATTGTATTTACAAATGCGTGTTCCAACGATTCCTCGTTATTAAATAGTTGGTATACGCCTCCATTTTTCCAAAAATAATTTTGGAAAGTTAAAGTCTCCCATTATATAAAGGCAATAGTGTTTTTGGTTATCTAGCTTATTTTTTGCAGCGCAAATGGAATCATTAATTTCTATATCATTATTGCTGTTCGGGGGTCGGTCCATCTAATTAATAACTTTTCTTTTCCAATTAGTAAAGTTACCCATATTTGTTCAACTTTATCATTACACAAAATGATATCCATTGTTTTAAATGAGCTTAATATGTTAGAAATGTAGATAGCAACCCCGCTGGCTCTTCTACAATCACTTCTGTCCCATCTATATAATGAATAGTTATTCAAATTAGAAAGCGAGTCTTCTTTAAACCATGTTTCTGTGACTCCAATGATGTGAGGTTTATATTTATCAGTTGCTAATTTAAATTGTTCGAATTTATTTACAAGTGATGTTGCATTATGAATGTATTTGATTTTTTTACAAAAATGAAATATCAAATTTTAAATAAACTTCAACATGATTTTTTAATGTTTATTTAGAAAAACTTAAGAAGTTTTTTTCTTTGTTCTTGCAAAATTTGCAAGAACAAGCAGGGACGCATTTGCAGGTCAAACAAGGCCAAACCTGTAAAAACCTTAAATCTCAACAAAATCAAATTTTGCATTTTGCATATTTAACTTAAATATTGGCTGAAATAGAAAAAATAAATTTTAGATAATTATATTTAAATTTGTTAAAAACTTGTTCTCTAAAATTTTCAGCAGTTTTTAAAAGTTCTTTTAAACTTAACTGATGGATTTTAATCGATTTTCAACTTTTATGAAATCCATACAAACTCCAAGAAAATTTGTTTAATGCATATTCATTATGATTAATTTGTTTTTAAGTATTATTTTAATGAGTATTTTTTTTTTTTAGAAATTACTTACTGAACTAAACAGTATTTACAATTATGCATTTGAGTCAGCACCATTAGCTAAAGATAAGAATTTAGGAAAAGCTGATTTCAAAAAGTTAGGTTTTGTTGTAAGTAAAAAATTTTATTCCATATATAATATCTTTTCTTATATATATATATATATATATATATATATATATATATATATATATATATATATATATATATATATATATATATATATATATATATATATATATATATATATATATATATATATATATATATATATATATATGTATATATATATATATATATATATATATATATATATATATATGTATATATATATATATATATATATATATATATATATATATATATATATATATATATATATATATATATATATATATATATATATATATATATATATATATAAATGCATTATAAACATAGTTGGACCTGCTATTGCAGCCAACCTCCAACCATTATCACATCGTCATTATGTTTCTCTTTCTCTTTTCTATAAATGCTATAATGGGCACTGCTCTTAAAGAGCTAGCTATTCAACTAAATCTCATCCTTTTACTGCGACTGTTCCTAAGAACATCGGTTCTTTGAAATTAACTTCTTTCATCTTATTTTTCTGATTCATATAATTTGCAATCTTATAAGTTGCCTGTCAATCGTTATCTTGCTCTATAAACTTCATCTTATCTCTTCTAGTAATTTCCAACTCAAATAGTGGTTGCTTGCAGCCTTGTTGGAAGTTGTTGAAAGATGAAAATAAAAAAACTTAATAGTTTTTTATTTATTGATGGTAAAAAATAATAATGTTGTTCTATATTATGGTAAAATGGTATGAGTGGTAAAAAATCATAATTAACAATATCCCTATTACAGAATTTTTTATAAAAGTTTTTCTTAAAATTTTGTTTAGAACAGCGACTCACCCTTAAGTGATTTTGAGGAAACTCCACCTGGTATGTTAGCATATGATGCCATGTTATATTTTGCTCAAAAACAACTGGATTCTTATGTAAAGGTAAATTACATTTTCCAGACTCTAATGACCTTTTTATATTATAATCAACCTAAGGACTGGTAACAGTTGTAACATCAACACAGCATAAGGTCTTTTAGAATTATGAATAATATTTAACTCAATTTGAATGTTATTTTAAAATGCTTTTGCAAATATTATAATTTGAATATTGTAAACTCAATCTAAATGTTATTTTAAAATGTTTTTTAAAATTGTAAATTATAATTGTAAACTCATTTAGGAATAATAGTCTTAAAAATATCACAAGTTATGATTTTTTATTATCATAATCATCATTATAATTACAAAATATTACTAATTAAAATTGATTGTTAGCAGAGTCAAAGTTAGGAAGAAAAGAACTCAAAGAAAAATAATACTGAATAAAATTTTAAAAAACCTAAAAGTTTTCATGTTTCATTGGGTCGACTAAATAAGTACAAATTTTATAAATGCAAATTCCTCTAGCGCACTTATGCTGATTCCAGATTATACTTATTCCAGATTTTTCAACTGCTTCTCACTTATGCCAGTTCAGGCAGAAATGGAAGGCTATAGCCCTCCACACCCATGCAAATCAGTTTACATGTGCGAAATAAGGCCCATGCAAAATATAAATTTTCGGCAAAAATAAAGTAAAATATTATTATGTTTTTAGTAATTTTGTAAAACTGTTTTACTAGTTAAAAAATGAAACTATTTCATTCAAGATATGCTAAAAAAATTATGAAAAAAATAATTTTTGATTTTTCCGATTTAAAAACAAAAAATAAAAATCGCACAAGTTATTTCAAACAGTTATAACTGTTCCGTATTATTCTGTGTTATGTTAAAGGATAAATAATTAGTATGTTAAAAAGCAGGCAAAATATGCATGTTTTTCAAAAGAATTTAACATAGTAGTCCAGGTTTTCAGTATTCTTTTGAAATTTGTAAACGATTAAACGATTATTTTCTTTTACTCAACTAGATTATTTATTTACTAGTCAAGAAGGAAACATCATAATAGCAGAGCTAATTGAGACGAGTCCCTTTGTACCGAAGTACTACTCATACACTGAGTAGGCGGAGCCGGGATTTGAACCTGCAATCCTGCTGCTACGGCCAATAATTATTCCGAACTTTATAGCAGCGCTTTAACCAACTTTAACCAACTAAACTTATACAATAAGAACTGTTAGAAAATAAAGACATGTCTTTTTTGTATAATAAAACATATTGCTTAATTGATTGATAAACTAGTTTGTCATACTTTAAAGTTGTTTAAAGTAGTGCATATTTCCATGTATACTTCTGTTTAACTTCTTGTTTTTTTTTTTTTTTAAAGGCGGCAGTTTTTCTAACAGGGTTCCCACACCTCCTTAAAAACCTTAAATATCCTTAAAAAATAAAAACCTCCTTAAATGTCCTTAAAATAACCTTAACTTCTCCTTTTTTTTTTTTTATTCATCTAGAAAATTTTTTTAAAGTGAAAGGATTACACTTGTTAATAAAGAAGATAATATATAGATTTTTAATTTTGTTTTCAAACCTATTTTTGTTATATATATATATATATATATATATATATATATATATATATATATATATATATATATATATATATATATATATATATATATATATATATATCATATATATATATATATATATATATATATATATATATATATATATATATATATATATATATATATATATATATATATATATATATATATATATATATATATATATATATATATATATATATATATATATATATATATATATATTTATATATATATATATGTAATAACAAAAATATGTAATAATAAATATATATATATATATATATATATATATATATATATATATATATATTTATATATATATATATGTAATAACAAAAATATGTAATAATAAATATAAATATAAATATATATATATATATATATATATATATATATATATATATATATATATATATATATTGGGTAACAATAATTATAAGAATAAATTAATCAATGATATATTCTCTGTTACTGTTTACGACCTCCTCCCATCTCTCGACCAATTTGTTGATGCCGTTTTGCCAAAAATCGATTGGTCTGGTGTCGAAGAAGTTGTTGAGCCAGTTTTTAAGATCCTCTTCGCCATCAAAGGGAACACCCCTCATTTGGTTTGATAGAGAGCGGAAAAAGTGATAGTCAGTAGGTGCAAGATCCGGAGAGTACGGTGGATGCTGAAGAACCTCCCATTCAAGCTCTTGGAGCGCTGTTTTGACGACTTGGGCAATATGGGGCCTGGCATTGTCGTGGAGCAAGATGACTTGACCTTGTCTATCGGGTTTTTTCAGCCGAATAGCCTCATTTACACGGTTCAGCTGGGCAATGTAGACCTCCTTGTTGACAGTGGCATTTCGTTTGAGCATTTCCCAGTGCACCATGCCTTCCTAGTCCCGCCAATTGCAGATCATGGCCTTTTTTGGGTGAAGATCTTGCTTGAATCTCGACTTCGGCATCTTTCCTGGGGCCACCCACTCCTTTCTTTGCTTCACGTTGATGTACAGACACCATTTCTCATCTCCCGTGATGATTCAATACAAAAAGTGCTGTTTGTGTCCATGTGTTGCTTGGTGGCGGGCGAGATGTTGTGCAGCAATTTGAAGGCGTTTTTCTTTGTTTTCTTTGTTGAGCTCGTGAGGTACCCATGCTCCGAGTTTTTGAGGAATAAACAATTAATTAAAGGTGGCGAGAGGTTGTCATTACACTGATTATTTTTTCAGCCAATTCACGAGTTGTTTGGCAACCATCTTCATTCAACAGTGCCTTCAGATGCTCTTCGTTGAATTCTGCAGGTCGTTCGCTTCGAGGCGTGTCTTCAAGGTCAAAGTCCCCATTTTTAAACTTTGCAAACCATTTTTGTGCAGTAGACACACTTAAGACACCTTCCCCGTGCACATTGCATATGTCCCGAGCGGCTTCGGCTGCTTTTTGACCTCAATGAAAAGCAAAGAAAAGTAGATGTTGAAAATGCTGATTTTTTCCTCCTGGGTATTCCATTTCTGAGCCAGAAAAAAGACGAACAACCTGATTCACTTCTAACAAGGCTGCAATCAACAATTATTAAGTTAAGAGTTACTATGAAAAAAAGGAAAGAGTTATAGGAAACGGTTGACAGAAAAGTTAAAAAGTTGTAGGTTGTGTGAGTCAGGAAAACTTGAAGATGCGAGTTTTAAGGGTTTAAGTAAAACTTTTTAAAGCATGCAAGCTTAAGGACAACTTTAATTTAGAATTTGGAAAAGAATTTGTTTTGGAAAAGAATTGTTCCAATTGTTTTAAAAACTTACTCAGATGCACCAAATAATACTTATCAAAAAGACTTAAATGCCAAACTTCAAAAATTGTCCTAAGAATATCAAAAGCCTTTGAGAGACAAGAGCAACAGCTCTTGTCTCTCAAAGGCTTTTGATATTTGAATGATTATTCTAAATATTTGCTCTATCAGTCAAATATTTTGATATTTGACTGATTGAGCAAATATTTTGATATTTGACTGATTGAGCAAATATTTAGAAAAATCAAAGTGATTTCTAGAGTTTTTAAAAGTTGGAAAAATAAACAGAACAACAGATGCCACTTTTCCAGCAGCCAGGAAAACAAGATTCAGTTAAAAACTTGTTAAATAATTTAGATGTTAGTAATAGTAGTAGTAGTAGTAGTAGTAGTAGTAGTAGTAGTAGTAGTAGTAGTAGTAGTAGTAGTAGTAGTAGCCGCCCGAAGACGACGAGTGTGTGTATTAGTAACACACTTAGAAAGCCGTGTCAGTAAAAATAAATAAAATAAATAAATAAAAAATATTAATTTAATTTAAAAGGAGCGATTTGTCTAATTGTGCTTTAAAACTGCTTACTGATTTTGCATTAACCACTTCTCTTAGTAGTTTATTCCATGTTTTTGTTACTTTGTTAGTAAAGAGTGAGTGTCTTAAGTTGCACTTTATTTTTTCGCGTTCAAACCTGACACTGTTTCCTCTTGATAATTGAAAATCATTTGGATTGAAAACGTTTATAAAGTTCACATTTTCAATTTTATTTAATAACTTATAAGTCTGGATCATGAAGGTAATAAAGAGAGTTTTGGAAAACACTTTTGTAAGACTTAAAAATGTTTTCTTGCCCACAATCTGTAGAAGAGTGCAAAGAAAAAAAGTGCAAGAGAAGCAGAAGTGATTTGGATGTCTAACAGTGAAGCAGAAGTGATTTGGATGTCTAACAGTGAAACAGAAGTGATTTGGATGTCTAACAGTGAAGCAGAAGTGATTTGGATGTCTAACAGTGAAGCAGAAGTGATTTGGATGTCTAACAGTGAAGCAGAAGTGATTTGGATGTCTAACAGTGAAGCAGAAGTGATTTGGATGTCTAACAGTGAAGCAGAAGTGATTTGGATGTCTAACAGTGGATTAATCTTCTTTTTCGGAATGGAGAAAAGAGTGCATTCATAATATTTAATTGATAAGTTATAAGAAAAGTTTTTTGCAAATAATTCTGTCATTTAGAGAGATAAAAGCATTGTCATTTGGTGAGATAAAAAGATCAAATTTATCTATAAATTTGATACCATTATGTGAGCTTTACTTTGAATATTTATGTTGTTTTAATTAGTTTTAAAAAGTTAATTCTTTGTTGTAAAAAATATTTTCATACAAATTCTTATTAAAATGAGTTGGATAGGGTTAAAATTAAATTAGGATTAAAATGTAAACAAATTCACAAAAAGCCATGTAACTCATATGCGTTTGATCCCCACCACTTCCCTGAACGTATTTACTTAATGTTTTTTGTGCAGAAGCTTAGATTTTATTAGTTCTTTTTCTGTCTTTTTTATCAAGTTGAGAGAGATTGAGTTGCATGATCAATTAAAAAAATTAATTTTTATAGCACATTAGAAATGTTAGAGTAATAAGTTGTTTATAATTTTTTTCACCAAACCATTGCCATAAAATGATTGTTAAATGTAAATGTAATCTCGACAAAATTATTAAAAATCTTTATATCAATTACACCATTACACTTCATATACACCACCATTATAATTATATTATATACACTACCATTATAATTATACCATTACACTTCTCATTCAATTTGACACTTCTGAATGTTTGAATAAGTAAGTATTTAAATTAATGAATCTTTGAATGAATTTATAGTTCTTTTAGTTTAAAAAATTGAATTGAAAAATTAAAAAAAAATTATATTAATTTGGTAATGAAAATTTATTATAAACAGTATTACATGTTTATAATTAGTTTAGTTTAGTTTATTCAGTAATCGATCATAAAATTACAACAAAAAATTAAAGACAAAAATAAAAATAAAATGATAGATGAAGAGGGGTAGCACCAGGATCCTCTGTTCTGACAGTCTTGTACTGCATACAAAGCAGCTAAAGTTAGATAAAAAAAATTTTAAAGCAGTTGGCACTTTGTGCATCAATAGTATTTTGCAGGAGACCGTTCCAGTGACGTACAATTTGATTTGAAAAAGATCTTGTCAATGTTTCGAGTGATTTTGAATTGCTGAATTAGGTCGCTCCATGTTCTGCGATCTTCAAAAGTCGTTAAACCTAATATTTGCAATCTTTGGGTCTATTGTAAATGCTTTAATAGTGCAACTGTTTTTGTTGCACACTTCTGCACTTTTTCTAGTGTTTCAATGTTGCGTTTTAGAAAGGGCGACCAGGCTTGTATTGCAAACTCAAGAAGCAGGCGAATATAAGCTATATACAATGTTCTCCAAACAACAATGCCTCGACTGCAGAATTTTTTTTTCAGCCTACCAAGTATTTGATTGACTGTTGAGGCTGCTGTCTCAAGTTGATATTTTAGTTTTAGGTTATCTGAGACCATGATGCCAAGGTCTTTTTCGTTAATAAAACAATAATAATAATATCTTTGTTGCAAAATAGTTTTGAAAGAATCTTATAATTCTAATTCTTTATAGTTCATCCTGTTATTTTTAAAATCATAACTATTGGTTTTAAAAGTATTATAAAAGTAAATGTTTTAATTAAAAATATTACAGAGTCAATTTTGTCTGGGGACTGGGAATTCATCTTATTAATATTTATTTATAATTAACTTATTTTGTATTTGTTATTATATTTGATCATGTTTAAGAAATTTTAGAATTTTTATAATTTAGGTAATTCTTGAAAACTATGGGCGTGATGAAGATTGCAAATGCCCATTTGCAAAGAGCTCCAAACATCTAACAAAGATGCTTTGCGAAGTTTTGAATGTTGGAGAACCAATATCAGACACTGAAGAGCAATTTCAACCAATGTTTTTCACTACAGACAATGTGTTTGAAGAACTATATTGTGTTTCTATTCAACTTCTTAATAAAACATGGAAAGAGATGAGAGCTAAGACTGCTGAAGATTTTCCTAGAGTAAGTTGTTCTCTGAATAGTTATTAAAAATTGTTCTCTGAACAATTGTTAAAAGTTGTTCTCTGAACAGTTGTTAAAAATTTTAATAATGCCGAAGATTTCTCAAAAGAAAAATTTCAATTTCTGAGCAGTTATTAAAGATTTTAAAATGCAAAAAATTGAAAATTTTTTTAATTAACTAAAAATAGTTTTTTAAATAAATTTATTTATTTTTATTTATTTTGGTTTTATTGCTTTTTTTAGTGCTCATATATTTATCATATGCATACAAAATTAAATTAACAAATTTTCATCATCTATAGTAACTATTATTAACATTACAACTTACTTTTTAACTCTACGTAAGCATAACTAGTAACTAAAACCATCTTTAATAGGAACCTACTTTGTGCATTATTTTTATTTAATCTTTTAAGTTTTCTTATAATCTTTTTTAAAATTGCAGAAGGTACACTATGTATAATAATCAGTTTATAATGCTATGTTATTTAGAACTAAGACATGTACCAGAAAAAATCTGCGTGGTTATTTTAAAGGATACTTTTTCAACTATTGTATTTGGATATCAAATGTTATATTTTTAAAATACGTATATTATTTTGGATATCAATTTTTTAAAATACGTATATTATTTTGGATATCAAATGTTATATTTTTAAAATACATATATTCTTCTTAAATTTCACATAAGTTTGTAAAGTTGTGTGCGTGAGAACGCAGGCACTTTGCGTTTTACATTTGGCATCAGTTTTTGTCTTCATTTTGGTGTTCCTGCAGTCACAAAATAGGAGCTACACCGCATTCACATATTGCTTGCCAAACTAAGAGTTTTTTAGCTTTGCATTTATATTTTGAATTCAGTTTCTTGCAATTAACTTCTGAATAATATTACTGGACAGCTTTGAACAATGAATTCTCACATTTTCTTACTTTTCTTTGCGACATAGAACTTTTTTCTTTTTATAAGATTCATAGCCAAAATTTCTCTTAACTCTTTGTATAGTGTAAACAATTATCTTAAATTTATTTGCTAAAGTTAAACAGAAATCTCTGAATTTCCAAGGTATTTTTCACTTTTTAACAAAATCTCGTTGAACAAAAAAAATTTTTCTTCGACTTCCAGGTTTCCTTTTGGTTGTACCATTGTGTCCTTAAATAGTTTTGCAACACTCTGCACTGTTCTCAAAGCAATCTGTTGTTTGTTTGATACACCAAGATTTTCAACCAGAAAATGCAAAAAAAAATTTCTGCTATTTATCTTGATTTGCTGACATTTTAATTAAAACTAATTGTTTTGAAACCATAGCTGTTTAAGTTTTGAATAATACCAATCTATTGAAATTTTTAAACAATTAGCTAATTAAAGTAATCTACGGTTTCCATAAACACCACATCAGAACACGCACACCACATCAGAACAAGCACAGATTTTTTCTGGTGCATGTCTTATATAGTATAAGAAGTTATGGCTATTTTGTTGAGAATTTCATTATAAAGTGCTGGAGTAATTTTACTAAAAGGATTATGGATTAATAGCTGAAGGGCCCATGATTTATTGGCAGTGAAACTTTTTAAAAAAAATTAAAATTATTTAATTTGTGGAGAAAACAGAGTTACCCTCATGTACGTATTAAAAAAAGTACTGAAACTATTTTTTTTTATTTAATATTTGCTCATTTAATATTTAGTAACGCTCATTTAATATTTAGCTTCCTGAATTCATAATAACTTAGCAACTTGACATACTAGTCACAAGGTTTTGGATAGTTTCTGAAGATATTTCACTCGCTTCTCCGATACAAGTTTTCAGCTCAAATGTGGATTCAAATTGCCTATCATTTTCATAAACCTTTCAAGAAAGTATTCCCCATAGATTCTCAATTGGGGTTTAGATCTGGACTACGTGCAGGTCAATCCATCACGTGAAATTTTTTTTTTTAACCAAATTTTTGTAAGCTTTGAATTATGGATAGCAGCATTGTCTTATTGAAAAGTGAAGTCTTTATGCATCAATTCTTCAACATGTTCAAATAAACTAATTTCTAGTAAGTCAATGTAGTCCTGTGAATTCATTTTTGTCGAAATCTCAAATCATACCAGTGGAAGTTTTTCAGCAAAGGAAAAAGCTGTTTACAAAAACAGTTACAACTCATCCGAGTTTTTTCCTCATTTTAAAAATTGTGCCAGTAATATTGATAACCATCAGGACCATCTAGATTGAAATTTATTTCATCGCTAATGAGAACTTGATGCCTTATTCCTGCCAAGATATGTGATTTTTTGCAAATTGTAATCTAGCTACTTTATGATGAACAATAAGTTTTGGTATTGATTTATGCTTTTTCAAACTAGATTTGGATCTTCATGTAAGATTTTTTACACAAGTTGAACAGTTACAGGTAATTGTAAATTAACATGAATTCAAGATGCAGTCATGTGCTGAGCAGCTGCACAACGTACAATAGATTATTTAGTACAATTATCAATTTTACATTTGCCACCACTTCCCTTATAAGCTCCAGAATAATGCCCATCTTGAAGTAATTATTATTCACTTTTGGAGGTCTTTTCATTTTTTTTGCAATTTCTGGATTAGATAAGCTTGTATCTTTGTATGCTTTGATAACAGCTTCATTTGTTTTGTTTTCTTCATTTATTTTATAAATAATTATTATTGAGGCTATTTTTATTTGTTACCGCTAATAGCAAGTATTATACATTTTATGTTTTTATCAAATGTACCATTCAATTATACTATATTGTAATCTAAAAAGCTGTTTATAACAATAATTAAAAATGTGTGAATACAAAATATGTATCGTACAAATTTGCTTACAGAATATTTTATTAGTACAAAGTGAGGCTAATTCTATTTTCTCCACTGTAGTTGCAGAATGGTATTATAGTTAGGTGATGGCTAATAGTTGAAGTTTTTTTTTAATAGTTTAATTAGTTATGAGTTAATGTTTGATAAATAAAATTTAAGGTTGTTAAAAATATATATATATATATATATATATATATATATATATATATATATATATATATATATATATATATATATATATATATATATATATATATATATATATATTCTTATTATATATTCTTAAATTTGGGATGTAACAAGTTTACATGCCAACCACTATTTACATGCCAGCCACTATTTACATGCTAGCAACTATCTACTTAGTAACTTTTTTTAGGTCATTGGTGTAGTGAAAGATCAAATCAAAAGAGCTCTTGTTACAAAACCAGAAACTATTGAAAAATTTAAAGTAAGTTTTTAATATGTAGATAGATAAGTCTGTTGTTTTTGTTTATCTCAGTTTTTTTTTTTTTAAAGATTTAATTTACTATTTAATTAAGTTTAATCTTTGTATAATTATTTTTTTCTTTTAAAATGTTATTCAAAATAAACTTTTAACTAAATTAATTAAATTTATTATTATTAAATTAATAGCTTTTTAATATTCCGCCCCCCCCCCCTCATGATCTCTACTTTCCTTTTCAGTTAATTATAATCTCTACTTTTCTTCTCTGTTGATCATAATCTCTACTTTCCGTCTCAACTGGTCATAATCTCTACTATCTCCACAGGTCTATCACTTATCACTTTTTATCTTTAAAAAAATAACATTAAAAATTTTAAAGGTATAGTTTGTTTTTATTATCTACAACTGTTTTTTACAACTAAGTTTACTACTTTGTTTTTTTAAATCTTTTTTAATTAGTCAGCAAACTAATTTACATTTAGAGTATGTAAAAAAAAAACTATTTATTAATTAAAAATTTATTTATCATTTATTTGTTAACTTTGTACCAATGTGCAATTTTTATTTGTATCAATGTGCAAAAATTTAATGTATTTATAAATTATTTAATGTATTAATAATAATCATTTAATGTACAGTTGACTCATGGTATCTCGAACTCTCAGGGGACCGAGAAAAATCTTTGAGATATCGAGAGGATTTTGACTCAAATGAGCGCGTAAGGGACCGGAAATAAAGTTTGAGATATTGAGTAGACGAGATATTAAGAGTCAGCTGTTTTATTAAAATAAAAAAATTTTAAGTTGTACCTAATACTACCAAATTATTTTTACCACAAATTAGTTATTTAATATGTTCCGTTATATTAAAGAAAGACACTTTTAAAGTACTTCTTTAACAGAATGGAAATCTATATTTTTTATTTTAAGTTTAAATAAATGAAAAGGTAGATAAAATGACAGTTACCATTTTTTATATTTTAAGGTAAAAATACAGTTTCCATTCATTACATTATAAGTTAAAAATATAGTTTCCATTCTTTACATTACTAGGTAAAAACAAAATTTTCTTTTTACTTCTATTTTTTATTTCCCTCCTTATCATTTAAATAGATTTATATTTATAATTAACTTATATATATATTTATAATCAACTTTATATATTTATAATCAACTTTATATATTTATAATCAACTTTATATATTTATAATCAATTTTATATATTTGTAATCAACCTTTTACATTTATAATCAACTTTATATATTTATAATCAACTTGAATAAACATTTCTAATCATTTCTTTAGAAAATGTAATTTTTACTTTTTATATAAAAATTTCTTACTTTGTGTTTTTATAAAAGAAAATCTTATTGTGATCAACATCATCACTTGTTTAAATTTTTTTTTAGAATAAGGCTTTCAGTTTGACATACCAACACTTGTTTAAATTTTTTTTTTAGAATAAGGCTTTCAGTTTGACTTACCAACACTTGTTTAAATTTTTTTTTAGAATAAGGCTTTCAGTTTGACATACCAACACTTGTTTAAATTTTTTTTTAGAATAAGGCTTTCAGTTTGACATACCAACAGATTCTTCGAATGATGCAACAAGAAGCCCAGGAGAGAAATATTCTCGACTCTCAAACAAAACCAGTCATGTTAGTGATGATTTTTTAGCATTTTAAAGATTTCAGTTGCTTCTGTTGTGTTCTTCTGATGTTTTTGATTAAAAAATTTATGTTAGCACTAAATGTGTTCTGTAAAATGTTTTCTGTAATGTGTTTTGTAATATGATTTCTGTAATATATTCTGTAGTCTGCTTATTTGTTTCAATATATTTATATCTAATATGTTTTCCGTATCATGTTCTATAATATGCTTGTTTTAGAACAGTTTTTTTTCTTAATATTTTTTATCAACATGTTTCAAACTGTTTTAATGCATAGTTTCCAATTTATTGACAATGTATTTGCAATTACATTTTATCCATCTTAGGATGTGGATCTTCTTGAATGCTGGATCTTCTTGACGCTTGACTTGAAGTTCTTGACTCAGTGCATGGGTTTTTGCTTGTGTCTCTGTCTTTATGACTAGACAACTCATTATATTATCTCCTAATGAGGTTACAGCTCTAAAACTCAGTTTTATGGTTTTGAAGCCGGCTGATAGTTAGGTTTCCCAAACTGTTGTAGCTCTCATAGATGCTGGTTTTTAAAAATAATTTTTTCGCTGAAATATTTCTTTTATACCTATAAGATTTTTATTCTAACATTTTCTTTTATTTTACCAAAAATAAAATTCTTTGTAAACATTAAAAATCTATTCAAAACGTTCATTAAAGTTTTTTAGCAATAGCTATAAAATACCCTAGTACTAACAGTACTATTTTGCACATGAATAGTGCCCTTGTTTGTACTTTTAGTGAGCATTGTTAAGGCACTTAAAAATCAAAAATTATAAAACTCAGAAAAACTATTCACTAATATTCATGGTCTTTGAAGTAACTTCTTCTGTTAAATCTTAAATTGTGTACATAAAATAAATGTGAAAGATATAAATGCGTAATTTTTTTCAGTGGTTGTATTAATATATTATTTTATTGTGTTTGTATTTGTTGGCAACATATAATGATTTCAAAAAAAGATTTCAGTTTTCACATTTAACTTAAAATAAGTTTTAAAAATGACAAAAGAAGAAGGCATTAAAAAAAATATTATGTACAAATTTTATGGAAAATCTGGATTTAGCTACAATTCAGTAGCAAAAAAAGTTGCAAAACATTTCTACATCAGTAGTTATGTTTAACGTTTTTCCTAAACAAAATCAATCAAATGCAAATCTGGTAATGGAGGAAAGAAGGTTTTTTAAGATATAAAACTAGTTAGAAAACTGGTTCACAGTTTTTTGAATAATCCAAGCCTCTCGCTAAGGGAGCGCACAAAAATATGAGGAATTTCTCATTATTTTGTGATGAAAGTTTGATATAACATGTTTTTCAAGCTTTCAAATCACAAAAAGTGTCTAACTGTTCTAAAATTCAAAAAAAAAAAGCAAAAACCCACTGAAAAAAGTTGTATGACGACTATATTTCTAAAAATTTCAGAATTATTGAATATAATGAAACTTATATAAAGTATGATCATCAGCAAATTCCTGGTGCATTAAATTTTAAGAATTTTTAAAACACAAAATTAAGAAATTTTAATACACAAAAAATTATAATTTAGCAAGCTATTTGCAGGTATGACAAAAATCAGCACCCTATATTTTTGAGTCTACAATGACCTGAAAGTGGCCTAAAATAGCAAATCCTCCAAACTGCCCAGTATTAAAAATTATTGCAAAGTACTTGGTAATATAAAAAAAATTAAAAAAGAAATAAAAATAAAAATTATTAGACAAAAAATATAAAAAAATAATAAAAAAATATGCAGAAACATTAAAGATTTATCAATGTCATTTAAAAAACATCAAATAGTTTTGATTGTTGTTCTGTGCACTATGTGTACCATCAAAACAAAAGTTTTTTTTATAGTTATTTTTTTACTTTCATACTTATTTTGTGTACACGCTTTATCTCTTGCAAAGTTCACCAGACCTACTTGCTCTTTGTGAGACTAATTTGAGTTCAGCTGTCTCATCTTGTGATCTTAATGTTGATGGTTATCCTTCTTTAATTCATAAAGACTTCATTAGTCACATGCTTGGCCTGGGGATATACATTTGTAAGAATTCATCCTGTGGTTTAAATCCACTGACTATTCTTTTATGTGTTTTAGTTTAGCACCACTTCACTTTATCACCTTTCTCTTTGTTTTATATCGCTTTTCTTCATCTCAAGAAAGATGAAAAGAGTGCTTTCGATATTATTTTTAATCATATTGACCAATCCCTTTCTCTTTATCCTTCAGCCAATATTGTTGTTGTTGGTGACTTTAATGATCACACTGAATGGTTTTGTGTCAGTCACTATGCAGCTGTTAAGGTCCACAACATTTGCCACAATCTCTAACACAATTAGTCAACTTTCCAACTTGCTTTCCAGACAATTCCAATAGTTAACCTTTTTTTTCTCAACTTATGTCTTGTTTTTAATTCTGGACAGTGCTCAGTTTATCCTCATTCACCCTAAAGGTGCTTCTGATTACAATTAAGGTGCTTTTGATTACGGTTTGATCTTTCTAATACTATTATCTCATTCTTCTTCATCATCACCATCTCCCATATCATTGTACCTCTTACAACTATCTTAAAACTGACTGAGAATCTTTTCAAGATTTTCTTTATGATGGCCCTTGAGTAGGGATTTTTCATTTTCCTGTTGACAAATGTGCTTCTTATGTACCTTCTCGAATTCAGCCAGGGATAAAATCTTTTATTCCCTCTCAACAATTCCAAGTCAAGTCTTACTCTTCTCCTTCGTTTTTCTTTTATTGTGCTGCTGCATTTTCCAATCGTAACCATTACTTCCATATCTATCGCCAAAACAATTCTCCAGAAAACAGTTGTCTGTTTACTATTGCTAGAAACCATTGTAAAAAGATTTTGTCTAATGCCAAAGTCCACTATTCTCAGGTCATGAAATCTTGCATTTTATCTCAAAAATTAGACTTGTGACTTCTGGAGAATCTTTATCAGTATCAATAAAAAGGGCAAATCTGTTATTCCACCTCTCTTGTATGGTTCAGATTTTATGTACATACTCTCTTGTATGCTTCATTTCACCTAAAAACAAAGTTGAATTGTTTACTAAGAACTTTTCATCAATATCATTTCTTGATTCCACTAGTTGCGTTCTACCTAATATAGCCCACAAACATAAGTGATTTCCTGCTTAGACTCTTCTACAGCTAGTGGCTTGGACAACATACCTGTTATAGTCTTGCAGAAGTGATTTCCGGAGCTGTTGTCTATACTTTCAAAGCTATTTAACAAGTACCTATCAAAATAGCAAAAATGTTCTAGAAAGTATTTTTATTCTAGTTTTTAAATATATAATCAGTTGTTCTCAATTAAACCATTTCTTCTGACTTTATCAATTAGACCTGGTATAAACTGAGCTAGTCTCTGTATGAACTCAATATCAATTTTACTAATAGAATACCTGATTCTAGAACATAATTTTTTAAAGTTTTTTGCATGCCAATTATTCTTGCAGACAAGGCCCTTCAAAATACTCCAAAATTTTTTTCGATAGGGTGACATTCTGGCAAGTTTGTAGGGTTTTCCTCTTTCTCAACATAATGCACGTTTTCCTTGTTTAGGTTACTGTTTTTGCATTGTGAGATGCTAAAGCTGTCCAGAATACATATGCACCATCTGAATGATACTTATTGATGAATGGAATAAGTCTTTTCTTAATACATTTGTTTAAATAGATTTTTTGATTTACAGCCAGTCCACTTGGTACAAAGTAAGGTTGAGAAATTCCATTTTCAGAAAAAGCAATCCATAGAAGTTATTTCTTTTGAAACTTTTGTTTTGTTTGGTATTTAACTGTAGGTGGAGTAGATTTTACATCACTAGTATAAAATATATCATTTTGATAGATTTAACGTGAAATAAGACTCATGATCAATGATTGGTTTACGATTTTTGAATTTCTGACACAGTTGACTGTACTAAGTTCTAGCTACTGCTTTTTGCTGGTCAGAGCGTTTTCACATTTTTCACTTTCATCACATTTAATTACCTTGTAGATAGTACTTTTAGGTATACTCTCAACTTTAAAGTGATCACAAGTGATTTTTTTACCAGCATTTTTGTAATTTAAATAAAATTCATACATTCATTTTCTAATCTCTTCTTGTTTTGAATTTATTTTTTATTCATTTTTCTATATAAAAAATAATAACACATAAAATAATTAAAAATATAAATAAATAGAATAAAAATACCTTCTAAAACAGTTTTCCTATTTTAAAAATCTTATTCCTTTAAGGAGATATGTATCTTTAAATCCAGTCTCGTTTTTTAGTTGTCACCCGTTATTTTCAAAAACTCTGGAGGGCAATCTGACTCGTCTAACTACAGTCTCATTAGTCTTCTTCCTATCTGAAACAAGATTTTTAAATCTTTAATTAACAAACACTTAATCTCTCATATTGAATCTAATAACTTTCATCATCAATATGATTCTCGATCTTTTTGTTCTAATGCTGATTTGTTAACGATAATAACTGATAGGTTTTATTGTGCATTAGATATGGAGAGGTTAAGGCTTTTGACATTTTTAAGACATTTTTTATAAGGTTTTCAACATTTCATTTGGTAAAGTTTGACATGCTGATTATCTCTATAAGCTCTTTTTTAATTTAATCCTTTTAAAAATTTAATCCTTTTTACCTATCATAGTATGAAAGTTGTCCTTGATGGAAAATATTCTTTATTTCCTGTAACTTCAGGGGTTAAAGTTTCTATCCTTGCTTATAAAACCTTTTTTAATTTACATTAATTATCTCCCAGAAATTCTCACATCTGAGGTGGCATTGTTTGCTGATGATACTACTTTATTCTTGCCTTGATAAGAAGCTAACACTCTATAATTGCTTGGAGGGGCATTTGAGCTCTCACTGCCTTTGTAGAGAGCATGGAGGTCTTAGTGGCTGGTGAACTTTAACTTAGATCAAACCTTTTTACAGCTAATAGTTGTCACAACAATCTTGATCTTTCTATATTTATGAATGGTAATGTACTTGATGAGTCGTCTATTCTTTGTTTGTACTTGATGAGTCGTCTATTCTTTGTTTTCTAAGATTAAATTTTACTTCCAATCTTTATTGGAAACCATATATCAAATCGATTGCAAAATTATGGTTGCATCTCTTTTTTGTGCTTGCCACTTACTTACTCCAGATTCTATTCTTCAACTCATCTCTTCTTGTTTGTCTTCTTGTTTGGAATACTGTTGCTGTATCTGAAGCATATCACGGTACAAAAATGCATTGTAAATTGAAGGTTGGCTTTTGCAACAAACATTACATTGTTGTTATGTTGCTTCACTTTTTATTTTCTATAAATACTATAAGAATGTATCACAATTGTATTTTTTTGAGTATCATAAATTGTATTGTAATCACAATACAATTTATGCTTTGACAAAGATTTTTCAGTACTAAATCCTAACAAGCAATTTCTACAAAAGTGTTTTTTACCATCATGCTTAGATATTTGTGATGAAAGTAAGAACAATGTATGCTCTTAAGAGATAGCGTTTTTTGTCTCTTCTACTATCCATTCTGGTGTTCAATTGAGTCTCATCTTTTTACTGCAACTGTTCTTAAGTGCTCCAAAAATTTTTATTTGTCTATTTTTTTACCTTAAACATCAGTTCTTTTGAATTCTCTTCCTTCATTTTGTTTTCCTGATTCATATAATTTTGAATCTTTTAAGTCGCCTTTTAATTATTATCTTGCTCTATAAACTTCATCTTTTCTCTTCCAGTAACTTCCAACTCTAATATTGTTTGCTTGCAGCCTTGTTGAAAATGAATGTTTAAAGAAAACATGTTTTAAAATAACAGTTAATCTATTACATAAATTCAATAAATTTATGTAATTTTATATTAAATAAGTTTAGCACAAGTTTATTCTGTAACTACTGTCAAAATAAGATTTCAATAACAAAAATATTTTAAAGTTTTGTAAGCGATTTTTGTTTTTATACTTTTTAGAGAACTTCGTGAACAAATCGTTCCTGAAATTCGTGAGCTTGTTAGACAACAAAGATTATCACAACTTGTTGAAGGTCTTATGTTTGATCAAATTTCAAAAAGAGGCCAGCAGAAAGGTTAGAATTATTACCTGTTTAAAAATCAGTAGACTGTAACTTAAATACATGATTTTAGCCAGCCTGATGGCGCTGTGTATATTGTGGTATTCTTTATTGCTTTAAAATTCCCAAAGAATCATAAGGTCATAGTAAAGGAAAAAAAAACTAAATCAGTTTTAGAATGTGTCACGCTAAACAAGTAGAAAACGTAATTAGTATGCACAACGAAGTAATGAACTAAGTTGATCAATTTTTTTAATGTGTAAAAAAATATTGCCGTTAACAAGCAAGATTATTCATTAAAAAGTTGGAAAAAAAAAAAATTTAATTCTTAATTGACATTTGTTATTCTTTAGATAAGATTTTTTAATATGTTTTTAAATTTATTCTTTTTCAAAAAATCTTTATTTACATTTTTACTGTAATTAAAAATTGTAACTTGTAATGAAACGTATAATTTATGTTATATTTGCAAAAAAAAAATAAAAGAAGATGATTAAATAATATTAAAATATAATTAATTATTAAACAATATTTATGAAAATAATTTTTTTTTTAAGTTTACTAATACAAAGTTTATGTAAATTTTGTATTTGTATATTTAACAAAAAAAGGAAAATTTGTATTTAAATATTTTTTTTATATAAATACCTAGTATACTAGATTATATTTAAATGTGCCAAATAATTTTACTTGCGTGGCTTTTGCGTGATCCACTTGAGTGGTGAAAGAATTTAAATGAATCTCTTTAATCTCTGCCCTTTAAATGCCTTTGTTACTTATTTAACTCTAAAATATGAATGAAACTTTAACTAACATTCTATTTGACCAAAATTGGCAAGCCAAACAAGTTTTTTAATTAAAAGCTATCAAGTTTTTGAAATTTTCATTTAAAAGGTATCAATTTAAATAGGTTTTTCAAGTATTTAAATTATAATATAAAGTTAAATTATAATATTAATTAAAATTATAATATAAATTAAAATTATAATATAAATTAAAATTATAAATTAAAATTATAAATTATAATATAAATTAAATTGTAATATAAAGTTAAATTATAGTATAAATATAAATATAAAGTTAGATAAACAAAAATTTAAGTATCTATTTAAAATTTTTTTTTTTTTTAAGTATTAAAAAATTTTTAGTATTAAAATACAAAAATATTTAAAAACTTCAATATTCAAAAAAATTTTATTTAAAATCGTTGCCTTAAATTTTTTCCTGGTTAACACTGTGATATACACAGAAACTTATGTTAGAAATGTTAAATATTTGTCTTCTTTTTGTCTTCAGGTTATTGGTTTTGCTGTCTTTCCCCAAACCACCGCTTTCTTCACTATGGTGAAGTTGTTAATAACAAGGTTAATCCACCTATTGACTCTCTTCCAAACAAAAGTAAGTCTTTAATAAAAATCTTTATATTTTCTATAAAGAAAACTTTTTTTTTTTTTTTTATTGCTATTCTAGAATCATTTTTTAGAATATCTTCTAGAATTATTCTAACTTTATTCTAGAATTAAATATATATATATATATATATATATATATATATATATATATATATATATATATATATATATATATATATATATATATATTTATATATATTTATATATATATATATATATATATATATATATATATATATATATATATATATATATATATATATATATATATATATATATATATATATATATATATGTATGTATGTATGTATGCTCAAGGTTAGTAATTTCTTGTTGCAAAAGTGAACTATTTTTGAATACTTGCATTTTGAAGTTTTTTAAATGCTATGTTCTACAACACATATTAATATTATTCAATAAATGGTATTTTAACAATGTCACATTCACCTCTTTTAATTATTGCATAGGAATATTTTCTGATAAATCGTGTTTGATGAGTTGTTGCTGTTAATGATATGAGGTTTGGTGTTTTTTTAATGGAAAAGGTTGAACATGGATCAATAAAAAATCTCTCTAGTTTTATTTTATTTTTTTATTCTGATTAACTCCCAACAAGGCTGCAAGCAACCACTATTAAGTTGGGAGTTATAGAGCAATGAAACGGTTAGACTTAAAAAGTTGAAAGTTGTATGACTCAAGAAAACATGGTGGGAGAGAGTTGCAAAGGGTTGAGGTGCGAGGAAAAAACTAGACATATAAAGGTTTTTGGAGCATGCAGGGACAAATTCAGTAAAATAATAAGACTTTGATGAATGACGACTCAAGTGAGAATGAGTTTTGGTTGATGGAACTAGAGATGATAGCTCCTTTGAGCATCGACCATGAGTATTTGTAAAAAAGAGAAAGTAATGCAACTTTAGAATAAAAAAAAAGAGACTCAAGCTTAGGAGATAGAGCGGGTCCAACTACGTTTACAATGCGTTTTTGGACGTTGTCTAGAAGAGAAAGAGCATTATTAGTAGAACTAGCCCAAATATGATAACAGTATTCCACACAGGGACGAATAAAAATTTTGTAGAGATAAAGAATAGAATCAGGAGAGAGAAAATGGCAAGCACAATAAAGAGAAGCAACCTTAGCAGATGCTAATTAAGCAATCGATTGTAAATATGGTTTCCATGAAAGGACAGTAGTAAATGATAATGCAAGAAGATGTAAAGAAAAGGACTCAGTGAGAGGGTTGCCATTCATTAATATAGGAATGTCGACAGTACTATGATAGTTGTTTGCAGTAAATGACTAATTTTTGTTGGAGTTAAAATTTACAAGCCACTGTGAGCCCCAATCTGTTGCAGAAGCTAGATCAGATTCATTGGCTGCCTGTTCTAAGCGATCAAAAAGAGAAAACTTTTTATCATAACAGGAGTATAAAATTGAGTCTTTAGATGTAAGGTTGAGGGGAAGATCATTAATGTAGATGAGAAACAAAAAAGGACCAAGGATAGAACCTTATGGTACCCCAGAAGTTACTAGAAATAAGGAAGAGTGTTGGCCTTCAAGGATGACTTTAATAAAGCGGTTAGAAAGAAACAATTTGATAATCTCAAAAACTTTCTCAGATACTTCATATGAAATAAGTTTATGGAGAAGACCAGCATGCCAAACTTTGTCGAAAGTCTTAGATATGTCAAGAGTAATAGCCCTAGTCTCTCTGCCTCCATCTAGAAAAAAGAATGATTTAACGAATATAACAACCGTAATATTTATAATTATAAGTAATATTTTTAGAAGCGTATTGAACAATTAATTATTAAATTATTTGTATAAATAAAACAAATAACAATTAAAATAGTTTATTAAATATAAGTTTAAAATAATCATAAATTAAAATAATGTATTTAAGTAATTAACCAATAGCAATGACAATAATATTAACAATACTTATACCAATAATAATTATTAATATTAACAATAAATATTAATATTAACAGTTATCAACAATAGTTATAGTAATAATGATTAATAAACTAAGCGAAAATTATTACAATAATAAAGTAATAATAATTATAATATTAAAAGAAACTAAACTTTTACACACAAGACATTATAATGACATATGTGACCTCGCGGTAGAAAAGCGACCACATGGCGTGATCTAGTTTCTGAGAAAATTATGTTTAAACACAATGACCTGTGGTTTCTAAGTTTTCTGTTTTCATTTGAATTTGATAGATGGATTATCAGACTATTAACTAAATTGATTATTTTGGTCATATTAACTTTATAACTTTCAACATTTTCCAAAAATATTGCAAATAACATTTTTATTAAAACTTTAAATTGATTTTCCTGACAATTGCCGTTTTTAAATTTTAAAATATAAAAAATCATAACTTTGGATGCAGTTGAGCTATTTTAAAGATCTTGGTGTCATTTTGTTCAGTTTAATTAGCTTGTTTCTTTGGTATGAATAACTCATTCCCCCCTACCTGGTCCCTTTTCTACCGCGAGGTCACATATATGAGAGTATAATAAAAATAAATGAGAATATAAACATCACACAAGACCATATAATCAATGCACAAAAATACATGGCAATACTAAACAAAGAAACACAAGACACAACAATAGTAAACATGACAATACTAAACAAAGATACAACAACCAATTAAAACATCGAAAAACTAACAATTATAATAAATAATAATAATGGTTGTTGAACAATAACGCAACAGCCAAACAAACAGTAAACTATAACAAAAACAAAAATATTGAAGAAAGTTATGAAAAGAGTAAAAAAACTAAAGTTAAGAGAAGTATGAATTAAAAAATATAATAACAATAATAAAAATAAATATTTAATATAATATATCAAAATAAGTAATCTAATAATAAATTGCAGTAATATAAATTTAAAAAAAGTGTAATATTTAAAATGAGATAAGAAAATAATAGATGCAAATATAAACTATAAAAATTATCTACTCTTTTAATAAACTGATCTTTTCTTCTTATCTTCTTATTAACTTATCAACTTATCTCTTTTTTTAAACTTTTTTTTTTTAAATTAGTAAAAATCGATGTTCGAATTTTCTTTTATTTGTTTTTTTAAATGTTATTTTTGAGTGTTTATTTGTTAAAAGTTTTTTTTTTACTCTTCTTTTCTTTTGAATTCTTTATTTGAAGCAATTGATAGTTAACTTTATTTTCTTTTTTCTTTCTTTTCAACGGTTAAAAAAACACGACTGCCATCTGCGATGACCTTTCAAAATTCCCCGTATCAGCATGATACGTCGACAATATTTTGGCCTGATTTGGCTACAATCCACTACTCCAAGAAGTCTCTAGATTGGTATGAACAAAATAGTATCAAATTTATACCTAATGAAGCATATCCTCTAAATTGTCAATGAGTTATTTAAAGTTAATTTGAATAGTTAATCAGTTATAAAAGGAATCGTGCTTAAAAAAGCACGATTAAAATTAGTTTCAGATAATAAACATTTTTGTGAAAAAATGGATAGCAAATAACTTAAAGATAATTCAGATAACTCAAAGCCAAATTCAGCACATGATACCATAACCCAGCATATGATGTCATCATCCAGCACATGACGTCATCATCCAGCAAATGATATCATCATCCATCAGATGATGTCATCATCCAGCAGATGATGTCATCATCCAGCAGATGATGTCATCATCCAGCAGATGATGTCATCATCCAGCAGATGATGTCATCATTCAGCAGATGATGTCATCATCCAGCAGATGATGTCATCATCCAGCAGATGATGTCATCATCCAGCAGATGATGTCATCATCCAGCAGATGATGTCATCATCCAGCAGATGATGTCATCATCCAGCAGATGATGTCATCATCCAGCAGATGATGTCATCATCCAGCAGATGATGTCATCATCCAGCAGATGATGTCATCATCCAGCAGATGATGTCATCATCCAGCAGATGATGTCATCATCCAGCAGATGATGTCATCATCCAGCAGATGATGTCATCATCCAGCAGATGATGTCATCATCCAGCAGATGATGTCATCATCCAGCAGATGATGTCATCATCCAGCAGATGATGTCATCATCCAGCAGATGATGTCATCATCCAGCAGATGATGTCATCATCCAGCAGATGATGTCATCATCCAGCAGATGATGTCATCATCCAGCAGATGATGTCATCATCCAGCAGGTGATGTCATCATTCAGCAGATGATTTATTGTAAGTTATTTGTATTCTTTGTAAGTTATTTGTATATTTTAGTAAGTTATTTGAATTTCTGTGTAAATTTGTTTGCAATTAAAAGATTTGAATATACTATAAAGACATATTTATCAGAAAGATTGCAAAAATGTTATGAATAAATTAAAAAATATTTTTTTTAAAGTTCCGATATCAGAAGTTACAAGTATTAAAGTTGGAAAAGATTGTCCGCATATCAATCGATTAAAAAAGGTTTCTCGTTTACTATCTTTAAAATATTAAGTTTTAGTTATTCTTGGTTTTTGGTGAATGTGTTGACAAATATGTCTATTGGAATTCAATTATTTTAGGGAGTTATTCAATTAGCTTTCTCTATAATGTATAACCAGGAAGAACATTTAGATTTTATTGCCCCTACTCAATATTTAGTAAGTATTTTTTTGTTTTGTTTTTTCCATCTTTCTTTCAATATTATTCTTTTATTCTTTTTTATAGTTAGATTTTTTTTGATTTAGTTTTCTGTGTGGACTGACGCTCTTAATTCTCTTTTGGGTAAAGAGGTAGTAGAATTGTTTACTTAAAGTAATGAAGTTATTTATTTTAAATAATGAAATTGTTTACTTGAAGTAATGTAATTGTTTACTCAAAATAATGTAATTGTTTACTCGAAGTAATGAAATTAATTACTAAAAGTAATGAAATTGATTGAGGTTACAAAACCGTTTTCACTACTGATTCTGAAACCTTTACACCCTACACAGCCTTTAAATAAGTATTAAATTTAAAATAGTTTTTAACAAATATTTTTTTTTGTTATATTTTTTACATTATTAGTTTTATAAAATATAATAAGAATTGCTTATGATTTTTCTGCTATGTTTATGATCGTTTTTTTTTTAAACATCACGCTTTATTTATCAATCCTCATCACCCTTTTGTTTATCAATTCTTATCACCATTTTGTTTATCAATCCTTATCACCATTTTGTTTATCAATCGTTATCACCATTTTGTTTATCAATCCTCATCACCCTTTTCTTGCATGAAAATTTTGATAATATTTTGCATTTTCTCTCTCTTTATTATTGATAATTTTTAGATGACTTCGCCTGAGTCAGGATCCGATTTAGAGATGCTTCTAAATATGGAAATGAAGTTGTTATTATTAGATCTTGAAGATGTTCGTATTCCTGAAGTTCCTCCTCCCATACCTAAGGAACCAGACAATTACAATTTCTTTTATAAAGATATTTAATTTTTTTAAACATTTTTTAAGTTTTTATTATTTTTTATTATTTATCTTTTGTATTTTTTAAATTATTATTATTATTTTTTTTAACTACTAATTTTATTGTGCAGAAATAAATTGAAGTTCATTTTGCGCATGCGCTTATTCATACTTCATGCGAAAATTGAATTTCAATTATAGAATATCTGTATCAAGTGTGCAAAACTTATTTGTATAAAATAAATAATAAATTTACTAATTGCAAGTCTATTTTTATAAAAAACATTTAATTTGAATATTTTGTTGTTCTAAGCGTTGGTTCACTTTCTAAAACTTCTATAAAATGCGCGTGTTTGTTTTTTGCAGATGCTTGCAAATTTTTGCGTATTTACATTTCTAGAAATTTATTTGTAATTTCTTTTTGCTACGATTGTTTATAAAACTGTTATATATGCTTGTATCAAAATTTGTTTTCTAATTTTTGATTTTATCTTCAATTTGAGATCACAGGACATATGAACAATTCCTTCGAGACTTAGTTTTGATATAAAAAAAAAAAAATTAATTCTTTTCTAATATACGCTTAAAGTTTAAAGCATACTTAAATCTTGACCAAAGTTGTTTTGTTTTTTCTTAATTTTGGTTTCATAATGTTACATTTAATGCAAAGTCTATCAAAAGATAGACTTTGCATTAAATGTAACATTATGAAACTACATAATGCTTTGCATTTTTGCCAAAAAAAATAAAAAATAAAAGATCAGTTTTGTATGAAAAAATTTTTGTATGCGGATTTTAATAAAAATTTAAATTATTACGTGACTACATATTTTATAAATAAAATGGAAAGAAAAACTCATGGTAATTTTTATATTTATTTATTTTGATATCCAAAAATATTAAAAATATTATCCAAAAGTATTAAAAAAATTAAAAAATGATATCCAAAAATATTAAAAATATTAACCCTAACCCAAATGTAACCCTAATCTACAACGAAATATTACGTAAAGCTGGAAATGTAACCAATCCCTGCTATGGTAGATCCAGTATAGACATAGTGTTAAACTTTGCTTTCGGTTTTAAATAAAACAATTGTTTTGTTTGTTACACAAACTATTTGAGGTATATTCATGGATTTTTATACTTAAATAAAATTTACTCCTGTGTTGTTCTTTTGCAAAAAAAGACTTACCAAGTAAATGTTTCTATTCCAGAAGTTAACAAGTGTATAAGAATTTATAAGAACCTACTCTTTAAACTGTTTTGGCTTGCTAAGTACCATTAGTCACTTATAGAAACACTATAAAAAAAATTAATTATAAAAAAAAAATTAATGACCTTAATATTAGTTTTATAAAGTTAGAAATTTTTATACTCGAAAATGTACCTAAATGTAAGCAATATAAACATATAATATCATAAATGCTCTTCCGCGATACTCTGTGACAAGACCGTCTTCTTGGGGTACCTAAAATAAAAATTAAAAAAGTTTGTTTTGTAATAAATTGTTTTAAAAGCGAATATTCCGTACGTTTTTTAATACTTCAGCTGTCCAGAAAAAATGAGTTTGCCATATTGCTCCAGAAAAGAAATAAAAATAAAAAGTTAAAGCAGAATCTTTGTTTATTTAAATAATTGACCTGGTTTAATGATAAAAAGCTCTTCTTGCGATGGGTTCAAACAGTATGTTTTTTACAGTGACTTCTTTATTCTTTAGTTGTTTTTTGATCTAAAACGTATTCTAGAGATAAATACTTACATATTGTTAAAAATGCTATATATATATATATATATATATATATATATATATATATATATATATATATATATATATATATATGTATATATATATATATATATATATATATATATATATATATATATATATATATATATATATATATATATATATATATATATATATATATATATATATACCCTGATATATATATATATATATATATATATATATATATATATATATATATATATATATATATCAGGGTGCGTCATTTTTCAACAATTTTTTACTAAATCCCAACCACCTGGATTAGTTGACCGGTGGATAAGTTAGTTGATAGTTGGATAAAAATTGGTGGATCAGTTAGTAGATAGTTGGATAAAAATGATTTAACGCTAAAAAAAAAACTTTTGAAATCCATTTTTAAGGTCCCCGTTTTTATAATTTGCACCCCGGAACCCCAACTTTTTGTAACCAAAAAGCGAGGATCTTAAACATTGACATAAAACACCAATTTTTTTTCTATGAACTGTAAAAGGCCTAAATATTTGGAATTGGTTGGGAAGTTTAAAAAAAAATAATATATACTAATTTAGGTCAAGAAAAATAGCTTAAAACGCACTAACTTATTATAATTTTTAAGTATATTTAAATAGAATGACGCTAGCCAGTAGAATTAGCTGGGATGATCAGTTAATATTTGAACTAGCAGCTCGAAGGTTCCAAGAGTTGAAAGATTTAAAATATGTATAAATACCAAGATGCACTCAAAATGAAATATTAATAAATAATCTGAAAGAAGATCATTAGTTTTTTTTGTCAGAACTTTATAAAGTATAAACAAACAAAATAAAAAAAAGTATGATATAAAAATAGAGTACAAAAATCCAAGTTGTATAACAATTTTCATAATACTTGAAGTATCTGAGTATATTATCAAGTGAAAGAACTTACTTTATATAAAACATATTTTGTATAACATAAAAAAAGTTACATAAACAAATCGCAATAAGGATTTAGAGGAATTCTCGTATACAAATTTATAGATGCTTTAGAAGTTGCATATGGTGCTTTCATTTATGCAAAATAGTCAATAGCGGCACCCCAATTAGTAGAAAGCATCCCATAATTACTTAATGTAGTTTAAGACTAAGTCACAGACTTAATCACAACGTCACAGACTTAGTCACAGCGTCTCAGAAATCTATAAAATTGACATCAAGTAAGTGACATATTTTATGTATAGTATGATTGTGATCTGGAAAATACATAATCAAAGTAAAAGGTTTAAATTATTTGTGGTTAATAAACTTAAGAAATTTATACGGAAACAAACTCAAGCGAGTAGAGATATGTGCCAGTCAAAGAAAACCCAGCCGATGATATAACAAGAGGAACTGCAGTTTTATTACTAAAAAAACATTAGATCGTGAAAAAAACCAGAATTTCTCATTGATCAAAAAAAAAAAAAGTTATTGATCCAAGGAATGAACTAAGAAGTTTACACAAAGAGAAAGTTTTAAAGAAGAGTGTATAATACTGATAGCGGCCACATTCTTTACCAAAAACAAGCAAGTTGCTATGTTTATACAAATTTGCTTATATATTTAAGTTTTGGATTTTTGTTTGATATATTTTTGATATTTTTATTACTCATAAGTTATTAGAAAATTTCCATATAATTGTATCTAAAATGAGTTTTTCAGATTAACTTTTAAGGAATTTATATTTTTCGGAAGAGATATTGAGAAATTTTTTAGTATTAACTTGTTATACAGGTATGGACTACGGTATTCTATAGAGAGTCAGGATAATTTTCTTTTTTCTGAGGGCTTTTTCTTTTTTTTTTGTACTAAATAGTTTCCAGTTGCTCTAGTGCTAAATTTACTTATATTAGTTTTTAAACAGTTTCCATTTTATGTTTGAGCATAAACAAAATATTTTTCATATATATTACTTTGGTAAATGCTTAAAGTAGTCATCTGTTTTAGTAATGGGTTTGCATGAGTAAGCTTGTCTTTAAACAATACAACTCTTAAAACGAGTTTTTGCCGTCTATAAAGAGAACTTAATTTAGTATTATGAATACTTGCTCATGCTATATTGGCGTATGACAGATAGCTGTGTATAAACGAAAAATAAAGAAGTTTCAAGTTTTTGAACGATAGATAAGGTCTTGTAGACGATACAATAACAATGTATTGTTATTGTATTGTCTACTCTTTTTTTTTTTTTACTCTATTGTTACTATAAAAATACTCGACATAAGGTCGACATAAGTAATATTTACTAGTGGAAATTTTAATTTACATGGGTTACGTGTTTTTAAACTTATTAGTAATATTATTTAGTTAATACTTTTTTAACAGCGTAAAATGTTATAATATCGTTTTTCTATATTTTACGTTTTAAATAGTTTTAATAAGAAACGTGCTTTTAATAATAAATTTTAAAATCTTTCTTTAATTCTTATGAGAACACTTTTGTTTTGTTTTTAATAAAAACAGTAGTGTAACTTTCATCCATTTTTATTTTTTGAGTGTCATAAGAATAAATATTAAGATTTCACATAGTGTAGTCCTGCTATATTTTTTTTTTAGGATTAAAAGGGATTTTCTAGGATTAACTTTTGTTGTTAGCAGTTGCTAGGATACTCGTTTAATGTGTGATTCTATATAAATATCTCAAATCAAATCAAATATTTTCTGAAAAATCGTCACACTCAAGGAAATTTATAAATAGTACAAGTAAAAACCTAAATTACACAAGATAATAACAATATTAAGGAGTAGTAAAAATAATAACTATAGCAACAACGATGATAACAATAAAAATAATAGCAATAACGATAGCAACAACGATGATAACAATAATAATATTAATAAACTATAAATAATTTCAATATTGAAAATAATATAAACAGTAATAAAAATATTAATGATTAAGAATAATGGTATCAGCAATGGTAGCAGTAATTAACAACGATAAAATAATAATTAATATTATAAAAGTTAATTTATTAAAAATTAAAATTTTGAAATAACAAAAATAATAACAAATTTTCTACTACAGTACGCATAATGCTTACTTGCGTCAATTTAAAAAAATATGTAAATAAGTAACTTCACGCAATAAAAATTACTTATGTTAGGTAATCCAGAAATCAAGTAAATTTTTTTAAGTGTAGTTAATAGTTGTTTAATAATCTATATTTATTAATCATTTTGTATATTTTTAATATTATACTATTAACTATATAAACAACATTAAACGTTTACATACTCAATTCGCTTTAATACAGATTTTGTCTTTTTTTTTTACTCAACTGGTTACAAAATATCCAGAAGGTAAAAATTTATGTAAACGTTTTTTTTTCTAAAGTGCACTTAAGTAAAGAGAGAAATCGCTCTCACAAGTACCTTATTTTCTTAATAATATAATTAAAAAAATAAATTATTATTTAAAAGGCCTTTAACGAAAGATATTTACCTATTGAAAACTTTGCTACTATTTTGAAGATTTGAATTTTTTTGTTCAGGAAACTCAGAAAGATTTTATCACAGAGGAATAAGTTTTAATGATATAGTTAATTTAATGATATAATGATATACTTTTCCGCCTTCTTATTGCTAATGACGCTTTTTAATGACGAAATATAAATTTAAAGTTGTTTCAGATATCCGGCACTTTCCCCGCCGCACTACGAATATTACTTAATAATCGTCTTGTTGTCGCAATGAACTGTGTATAAAACATGCTCTGAAATAACATAATATTAAGCTCATATAAATATGGGAAAATTTTAAAATTGGGAATAAGAAAAGTTAATGTTAAAAAATAAAAATAAAATAAGTAAAAAGAAACAAAAAAAAAAACTAAAAACAAACAAACTTAATGAATAAAAGTAGTGTAAAAATGTAATGCAATGAAAATGCAAAAATTTATAATCGTTTATAGTTCGAAAATTTGATAAACGGTTTTTTTAAAATTGAAACTATTCCTAATATGCTTTAAAAGATTTTTGTTTACTTGAGGCAGGCTGAACTAGAGTATGAAGTTAAAGCTACGGTTAACGCTTGCATAATTGAAGGTGACTGTAGAGCAGGTCAAATTTTTCTTATAACTTTTTAATAGCATTAAAATCACGCGTGCATCTAACTCAATCAAACTAGTTTTGTATCTTTTGATTTTAAAAATAAAGTTAGAGATATATCAATTCCTTAACATGTCCGGTCGTATATTACGTCTGTTATAAAAATAACTTTGATAGTTTATAATAGAATTCCAATGAGATAGATAGGAAAATGTAAACGCGACTCGTGATAAGAGGGAAAAATGTATGATTAAACTAAAGTTAATGTTACTTAGCAACGAATATATTTATACGAAATATATTCACGAAATATACTTAATATAATCTGTTGCTTAAGACAACCTGCAAAAACTAATATATTAAATAAATTCATCAAATTTTAAATCCTATTCGTGAAATTATCAACTATCAGCTTGTTTTTAAGAAAGTGAGGTCAATTAGGGTTAAAATTTTGTTGCGTAGGTAATAGTTTAGACTTCGCATGTTAATACTGCTCCCCTTGAAATTTCCATCTTTTAAAATACAAAAAGTAAAATTTCTATATTTTTTAAAAAAAACTAGAAGTATTGACATTTATAGATTAATTTCTATTAATTTAAATTTGACCAGACAAAACACTGTTTTGATAAGTAGGTCAAAAAAGAATCCGGCTGTTGAAATAACTAAACAAATATTGATGTGCGCATGTTTAAATTATCAAATACCAAAACGCAATAAGCGAATAGTATTTTTTATTGCTAACAGTTTGAATAATTAAATAAACTTAGAATGTGTTAATTGGAATAAATAACTATGCTATTCTCAACAACATAAACTTTATCTATTTTAATTATGTAAAATTAAATTAAGAATTAAATAACTGCAAAACTTTACAACACTATAAAAAGTATTTAATCCTTATAAAGTTAAGTAAAAACAACAACAATAATTCATCTTTATTGTTTTATCGCTTACAATATTGATTACTCATTAGGTAAAAAAGAACTTCCTATCATATTTAACACTTAGTTAGTTGAAAACTAAAAGGAAATAATAAAAAAAACAGTATTATGTATTTTAAATATACGTTTGCTCCTCAAATTCTGAATTTAAAGGTGTCTATATGTTTAAATTAGATTTAATTCTTGATTGAACTTTAGAGCCTTATTGTTAAAATCAACAAAAATCTTATTCAAAATCGTGAGATAAATCCATTTGGCGTAATATACCTTTACATCTTTCAGACATTATTAACGCGCCACGACGAGTGGCGACCAATCTTTTTTTGTCTTAAACACGTTGTTAGATTTGATTGGTTATAATGCAAAATCGCTTATATAACTTTTTTTTTCAAATACGGGCGTTTAAAGTTTTATTCTAAAATTAAATTGATAAAAATAAATTTTTATAAAAATAAATGTTTTAATTTTTTAAATATTTAAAATAAAACTTTTTTTTATTTTTAGTTATTATTTAAAATACTATAAAACTCAAATTATTAAAAATTATTTTTATTCATTTTGTTTGAAATGTATACACCCTAAAAAATAATATTACTATAGCAACATCAATCTGCTTAATCTTAAAAATTGTCACAAGGACCTTCAACTACAAGTCGATGATTTTAAGTCAAATTTGAAGTAAACTCTAAACTTCTGTAGGTGTTGTATCCTTTATTAATTAATCAAAATGAGAGAAATAGTTCATTTACAAGCTGGTCAATGCGGAAACCAAATCGGAGCTAAGGTAAATTTACATAAGGAGTTAAATATCAAATATTATAATGAATTTGTTTTTGCCTTTATATATTAGGCGATAGTCTGGTTGTGCCGTCTAACTGTTTTGGAGACTAAGCTAAATTATAAAATAAATATACTGGTATAACACTAATAAACAGAAATAACAGGAAAAGACGACCTTGTACTGGGTCTCAATGTACTATATCGAATCAAAATGTTTCTTAAAAACATTTTATATGTATAGTCTCGCTTTAAGGGGTAAATAATAATGTAGTGCTTTTCCATTATGTAAATACTAATTAGAGCCTTCGTGTATTTGTTTATTTTGCATATATATTCACAAATATATAGATAATCCAACAGTTAGGCGGATTTTAATAATTTTTTTCATCCATAAAAAAATTATAAAAAATAATACGAATTTATAGCTATTATATTATATTTACATATTCATTTTAGTAATAGTTATTAAAAATTTAAAGAAAAGTTTTGATATTAGTATTAAATATTTTTTATAATATTTGTAATAAATATTTTATATATTTAAAGTCTCTACGAGACAAAGGTTCGTAATAAGTAATATGTAAAGGCCGCTTATCTGTTATTACCTATATATTACATATGTGATTGTTGTTATTAGTTTTGGGAAGTTATTTCTGATGAGCATGGTATTGATCCCACCGGTACATATCACGGAGATTCTGATCTTCAATTAGAAAGAATAAATGTCTATTACAATGAAGCTACAGGTAAAAAGTTAATGTCAATAAAGTGACTAATCTGAAGTTTTTATATCAATAATTGTGTTAAAACTTTTTTTATATTATACACTAATTTACAAAAATTGTGTTAAATTTTTTTTTATATTTTACACTAATTTCTTTAAGGTGGTAAATATGTTCCAAGAGCGGTGCTTGTAGATTTGGAACCTGGTACTATGGACTCAGTTAGGTCAGGCCCATTTGGACAAATATTTAGACCAGATAACTTTGTTTTTGGACAAAGTGGTGCTGGAAATAACTGGGCTAAAGGACATTATACTGAAGGCGCAGAACTTGTAGATTCTGTTTTAGATGTTGTTAGAAAGGAAGCAGAAAGTTGTGATTGTTTGCAAGGATTTCAACTTACACACTCTCTTGGAGGAGGTACAGGATCTGGTATGGGAACACTTCTAATTTCCAAGATTCGCGAGGAATACCCTGATAGAATTATGAACACTTTTAGTGTTGTACCTTCACCTAAAGTATCAGACACTGTAGTTGAACCTTATAATGCAACCCTCTCAGTTCATCAGTTAGTTGAAAATACTGATGAAACTTTTTGTATCGATAATGAAGCCCTTTATGATATATGTTTTCGTACACTCAAGTTAACAACACCTACATATGGTGACTTAAATCATCTTGTGTCTGCAACAATGAGTGGTGTAACTACATGTTTGCGTTTTCCTGGTCAAGTAAGTTAATGCTTACTTAAGTTTCAACTTTGTTTAAATTTAATTAAATTTATTTTGTAAATTTATTATTGTTTTAGTTAAATGCTGATCTTCGAAAATTAGCTGTTAACATGGTTCCATTTCCTCGTCTTCACTTTTTTATGCCTGGATTTGCTCCACTCACTAGTCGTGGTTCACAACAATATCGTGCTCTGACTGTCCCTGAGCTCACACAGCAAATGTTTGATGCTAAAAACATGATGGCTGCATGTGATCCTCGTCATGGTAGATACTTAACAGTTGCAGCTATGTTCCGTGGTCGTATGTCAATGAAAGAAGTTGATGAGCAAATGCTCAATGTTCAAAACAAAAACAGTTCATACTTTGTTGAGTGGATTCCAAATAACGTTAAAACAGCAGTTTGTGACATTCCCCCACGTGGCCTTAAAATGTCAGCAACATTTATTGGGAATAGTACTGCTATTCAAGAACTTTTCAAACGCATCAGTGAGCAATTTACTGCTATGTTTAGACGAAAAGCTTTTCTGCATTGGTACACTGGTGAAGGTATGGACGAAATGGAGTTTACTGAAGCTGAGTCAAACATGAATGATTTGGTTTCTGAATATCAACAGTATCAGGATGCTACTGCTGAGGAGGAAGGCGAGTTTGATGAAGAAGAAGGTGAGGAAGAGGAAGCTGCATAATTATTAAAAAAGAAAGTAAAATGTAGTAATGTCGAAATTTTATTTGAATATAAAGTTGAGATTATTTCATATTTATTATTCCACCTTGTTTGATAATTAAGATATAAAATTTATTGGGATGGGGATGGTTGTGTCCACTTATTTATGAGTCAAGTCCTCTATGTGATAAGGATGTGCCCTTTTTATTTGTATATATTTTTAACCTTTGGTAATAAAATAACTGTGCTCTATGTTTTAATATTGTAGTGTACACTTCCTTACATTATTAAATAAATAGTGCCGCGTTAGAGCGGTATAAGAAAATGGGTTGTTTTTTGTTGGTGTTCCTGTAAATCCCAGGGTAGCGCGAAATAACTTTTATTAAAAGAAATCGCAATAATTGCTAGCTTTTGAATAATATTTAACTGTCTTTAAGGTAGGCTCTCTTGCCTCATGTTTGTTTTGACTTTAGATTCATCTTAAAGTTATTTTCATTATTTTTATTTACATTCATAAAAACGTTCCTCATGTGTGTCGAAATTTCAAACAATCGTATTTAAAAAGAGCTATAAGATATCTTGTAAAACGAAAATAAATGCCCATTTAAAACGAAAATAAATGCCATTTATAGAAATTTCATAAGAAAGCTGCTTATTGAAGAGAAATATGCGTACAGCTAATGGTAATAATAAACCTTAGTTGTAATTACTTTTATATCTAACTTGCTGCTATTTTCTAAATTTTAACGCCTTTAAATATATTATAAATATAAAATATATTTATACATATAAATTGCATATGTATATATTATATATATGTAATATATATTGAACAAAGTGAAAATTCAAACTAAGAAAACGAGACAAAATAAAGGATCATTTAACAATGTTTTCTTAAAGTGTCTTCTTCAAATGTTCTTCTATATTCCGACATTGAACCGCGTGTACTTAAACATAAAAAGTAGCCTCGGGAATTTCATTCACTAAGTTATCTTAATTTTAATCAGGTTTTGATATTCAGTTAATTAATACCACAATTCTTTAATACCATCTTAAAAAGATTTAACTGCTCAGTAGTTAAGTTGGCAGTTCATGATTTCAAATGTTACTATATTGTTTAAAAGGTGGATAAATATACATCAATATGAATTGCATCTCCTTAATTTTAAATAGAGTGTATACAGTTTTTATTATACTTGGAGACAATAAAAATCGATTTAACTGCGTTCCTTTCAAATGTGTCGAATCTTTTCATTGTTAGTTCTTTATTTTCACAGAGCTCTAGACCGTGAGTTAACGTCGTAACTGCTAATGATTTATGTAATTGGATAAATGTGCAAACCGGATTCCAGATTTAATCAGAGTTTGCACTGTTGCCCGGAAATTTGATACCCTACTGTCAATATTCATTCTATTTAGTGAAGCAAAAATTGATTTTTTTTGTATGTCAAGTAGCTTTTCAGTGTACATGCTGTATTGGTAGGGTGATAGAATTTACTTTATCTCACTCCTTGCTTAAGATCAAATGAGACCAAGGAACCTAGGTATGAGAAAATTGCACTGTTGCTACGGTATAAAGAAGATATTTTTTTTTTTTTTTTTTTTTTTTTTTTTTTTTTTTTCAAGATCTTGTGATCTTCTTTCAGATCCTAGCTTATGTTTCATTGTAAGCAGTTTATGTATGTGCGCATCTACGCATTTGTATGTGTATATATGCTTATATTTATATATGTATGTCCGTGTTTTTTCTTATTTTAATTTAGTTGATAAATGTTGTAACACGAATTTAATTGTAACACGATATATATGGCATATATAATTGTACTTTGACATTTTAATGTAAGCAAAATTAAAAAAAAAAAAAAAAAAAAAAAAAAAAAAAAAAAAGAAGATATTGTGTTAACTATTTGGAGATTTTTATAAAATAAAGTTTATTAAAAAGAATATCCCAGTTGCAGCTATTTATTTATAAATTTTTAATATTAATATAAAAATTATTTTTAATGACGAATAAAATATTTTTTAACAAAAATTTACAAATGATTATATATATATATATATATATTGCAAAATTAGCGCATATATATGCGCTATTTAATATAAACATTTTATAAATATAGGCTTTTATATTATAGAGCGTATTCTACTTGCTGTGTTATAAGTATATAGCTTTCAATAAACTAAAAAGTGAACTTAAATATAGAGACAATTTAAGAATTTAGTAGTCTCTATATTTATTTTTCCCTATGTTAATGACTTATGGAAGTCAGAAAACCACGTGACTTGAGTAAAAGCAATTGTTTTTGGGAAAACAAGGTTTGCTTTCTATTGACGTTTATTATTATTACGCTAGTCACACGATTTTTTGACTTGGAGGCAACAATAAAAGAACTTTAAGAAAAAGTTTTTAGTTATTTTACCACACAACAAGCCGTAACATTTAATGTTAGTATTCAGAAAGAGGTAGGCTCTCTTGTCAAACCGTTATTCCGACGCTGTCCTCAAGGTCCGAAAATGTAAAAAAACGACTTTTTTATTTAAAAGAGAACCTGCCTACTCCAAACCCTCAGTCGTTGTTTTCACACTCCGCTGCATGTTCTCTCTAAAAATCAGTCGGTGTATGTGCACACCGCAGAGCAAATCCCTATATACCCCATTTCGCCTATTTTCTAGAAATACAAACTCGCGGACGCAAAGGACGCTCAACGTCGGAATAAGAGAGCCTCAGAAAGATAAATAGACATGTATTAGGAAAAGCGTTTTAGCGCTTTTACTTTGTATACCGCCTTGATTTAAATCAATTAAGACTCACATCCCGGCAAAAAAGAAAAGGTTACTTCTTTTAAGATATACTTCATAAATTAAAAAATTAAAACTAAATTAATTGTATTCCCATTCCATTTGCTTAGTAATGTTTTTAACATATTTGTGGCTATAAAAATAACCTAGTTTTGAAGCTCACCCAAAGTTAGAAATAGCCGATTCTTCGGCAACAGAGTTGATACAGTGCAACAGAATTGATACAAGCATTTTAAATAGAGAAGCCATATGTCCTGTAAAATAAATATGTAACTGTTATTACTGCATAATCTTACCGCTTTAATGCTTACTTGTTAAAGATTAGTCTATTTTTCAGCTTTTTTTTTTTTTTTAGTTAACATTATTCGTGTCGTGATTTACATGTAATATAAACATATAAACTTGAAATCTGGGAAAAGATCATATCGATCTTGTCGCCAGATCCATATAAAAATTACAATATAAATATAATAATACAGGTAGTTTATAACAAAATAAGTTTCCATAACATTTAAAATAAGAAATGGTTAAAATAATCTTTAAAAACAGAAAAAGAGTAGGTAAATCTCTACAATTTTATTTCAGATATAAGGTCGATCTTGTCGCCAGATCCATATAAAAATTACAATATAAATATAATAATACAGGTAGTTTATAACAAAATAAGTTTCCATAACATTTAAAATAAGAAATGGTTAAAATAATCTTTAAAAACAGAAAAAGAGTAGGTAAATCTCTACAATTTTATTTCAGATATTCTATTAAAGAATATCTGAAATAAAATTGTAGAGAATTGCTCGATATTCTATACAAAATTGATTAAACTTTGTTTGAAAAAGGGTTCTTTTAAATAGTTATTATTTCGCAAACTATATTTATTCTTTACTTTAAAGGTAAATAGATCTTTAAAAACATGAAAACATGTTTTTTTGTTAAGGAGTGGAAAAGGATCCACATTGTTTTGTCAATATTTAAGGTTAATTTATTGCATTTAAACCAAGTAGAAACTTGATTAAGTTCTTTATTCATATTAAAAAAAAGTTTGTTAATGTCTTTGTTTGATAAAAATAAATTGGTATCGTCGGCAAACATGGTGCTCATAAAATTCGAGGCCTTATTTAGATTGTTGACGTATACTAAAAAGAGAAGTGGACCAAGGTAAAACCCTGTGGAACACCAAATTTTATTTCAATTGTTTTATTTTGAAGTTCAATAGGAAGCAATTCTTCTCTGTGGTAGACGAATTGCTTTTATTTAACAATGCGGCAGTGGTGTAGTGGTAAGAGCGCTCGCTTTGTAAGCGAGAGGTTCCGAGTTCGACTCCCACCACGTCCCTGGAAGTACCGCGCTCAACTTAGTTTCTCCGCGCAGCGGCCTTGCTTGTCAAGGTTCGTGTTTCGGAGTTAAAGAGTTGAGAGAGGGTTGTACCACGAAATACAACAAAAAAATAAAAAACACAAAAAAATGAGTAGCCTCCTCGACTGTAGTGGCCCCCTCGGGCCTTGGGGAGGTGAATAATGTAAAAAAAAAAAAAAAAAAAAAAAAAAAAAAAAAAAAAAAAAAAGTAGCTTTTATACCATTTGATCATTTTACCAGTTATTCCTTAGAACTCAAGTTTTTTAAGTAAGATATCATGATTGACTGTATCAAACGCCTTTGATAAATCGACAAAAACACCAAGTGCATATAATTACTTGTTCAGTTGAACTATTTTTTTAAAGCCGAATTGATTTTTATATTGTAAATTATTTGAAATCAGGTAGTTGTACGTCTTTTCAAAGATGATTCTTTCTAATATTTTTTTCATCCTATGAGTTAATTATAGATATATTTGATGTATTAGATTTTTAAAATTACTGAAAAACCCAATAAAAATAATGAAAAAGGAAGTTTAAGTTAAAAACAAATCAAAATAACTTAACTTCTGATGTATAACACACTGTGCTCTTAAAACAGAAACATTAATCGAACCAAATCCTTCAAAAATGTTTTTTACCTGAAATAGAACAGATGTGATCTATAAAAAAAAATAATGAAAAAAGAGATTATACTGATTGATATACAGGTTATACTGATTGATTTAAATTACTTAACACTAACGCCTCAGCATCCATGCACGCAAAGGTCTATTATTCCAAGTAGAAACAGAATGTCAGGAGCTAGTTCTTTGGCTTAAGCCAAATAGTAAATGACCTTTGGTTTCCCATAGCATGTTGAAACCAAGTCAAACCTGGTTGTTGGATGTCGGTAACAACCCCTACTACCTGAAATAAGATCTGATATAAAC